GTACTTCAAGGGGGCTTATAAAAAAGATGGAGGCAAACTTTTTAGCAGGGCCTGTTGCGACAGGACAAGGGGGAATGGCTTTAAACTAAAGGGGGGTAGATTTAGACGAGATATAAGGAAGAAATTTTTTACGCTGAGGGTGGTGAAACACTGGCACAGGTTGCCCAGAGAGGTGGTGGATGCCCCATCCCTGGAAACATTCAAGGTCAGGTTGAATGGGGCTCTGAGCAACCTGATCTAGTTGAAGATGTCCCTACCCACAGCAGGGGGGTTGGACTAGGTGACCTTTAGAGGTCCCTTCCAACCCAAACTATTCTATGATTCTATGAAATTTGTAAAGCAGTTTAACTGACTCCCTATACCTTCACAACTGTTGTAAGTACTATTAGCAAAGCAGTAGGTATATCAACACCACTTAACCATTAGTTTTTCTCGTTACTAGTTTTGAATTTGAAAGAGAAACTTATGCATTATTTGAAACTATTTGAAATTCAATTTTTCCCCTGTTCACACCTAAAATAATTTTTAAGCCTCAACCGCCAGTTCACAAAGATCTTGCTGTTAACAGCACCACACGTCAGCCCTATCTATTTGCCCACACGCCTACATCACTCCCAGTGAAGGAGCAAAACTTTGGAGTCTATCCATAAGGATGCTCTCTCTGAAGTCCTTCTACTTCTACAACCAGTCACTTCACGAGCAGTGAGGTCAGAGCAGCTTCCCATTGCAGAAACGGGACTGGAGCCCACCTGAGCAGAGCCACTGGAGCAGCACCGCCATAGCGTCCCAGCATAGCTCAAGCAACCATTTCTCAGAGCTCCAGCCCCAGAAATAGCTCACTCAGGTGAGCTAACTTTTCAGGAGAACCCAAGAAAGCAGCACATAACACATAGAAGTTACAGAGCAACCTGAGCTGATGTACTCTGCTTTGACAACATTAAGAACCATACAGATGCTAACAAAGTAATAACATACTCTACGTGCATTTCCATGCCTCAGTTTCCTCACCTTTGTAGAGTGTTCCTCGGGTCCCTCCAAGATCCTGCAGATCATAAGTCCTCTCTATGCTTCAGACCAGCGACTACGGCTGCTCTTAATGGTCACCCACCCCCAAGAAGAGCGTTTTCTTCTCTTCCAACCCCCACACTTCCTGTGCATCTTTTTTTTCTTCCCCAGCCAAGACTTTTATCTTAGAGGTTAGCACCAACTCCTAATTTTTTTTTTTTTGTTCTGCATTTCATAATGTTTCAAACTTGGTCCTCTACTGAGATATTTAAATCCATCTTGTTCCTCTCTGAGTTGCTGCAGTTTGCTGCCCTGATACCTCACGCTGGATAGAAGCCACTGAGCTCTGGTGAGTTACCATTACACCCGGTCTACAGGGGAAACATGCCACTTACGAGCAAATTGTGGGCTCCACCGCTCAGCAGTTTCTAAATAGTATCAAAATCTCACTCAAACCTCTTTTGTTGTACGTAGAAAGATCCACAAACTGACAAATATATATCCTGTTAACTGTACTGATTTCAAAGAGATTTTAAACCAACAAATACAGTGAGTGGAGTGGTAGCACCCATGACAAGCCACAGGTTTCACAGAGCAGAACGTACAGAAGCTTGATTGCATCCTCTTTTCTGCCATAGTACGGTCAGGTGGCCATAGAAGCTATTTAGACACGTGAAGGTGTCTTCAGGAAAGCTGAATAGGATGGTAACACTCATTAGTAGGACCGTTGGATCTAAAGAAACCACCAGCAAAAGGATTTGTCCCTTCATTACGTGAGCTGACAGAAAGATGAACGATTTTGCTTTTCTCAAGTTCTCAGTTACCGAAATGTGAAGAAGTAGCAGACCTACAAATGCAGGTGAGTAAAAAAAGCAAAACAAATCTATGTTTTACTGCAGGGATAAAATGGGTATCTGCCACCTGCAGCACACATGCTCAACACCACCAAACAGTCCCAAAGGGTGACACAGTGTGAGGTGGAAATCCAACCTAATTAATGACAGGTGGAAACCACTGGAGTCAAACAGTTTTACTGCATCAAAGTGCTGCTACTGCAAATGGATCGAGAGAGGGCACATGGACCCTGTTTTTCCCAAATGAATATTTTTTGCTTGCGACCAGCTGCCACCTTTGTGGCCTTCTCCACGCTATGACTCTGACACAGGTTTTGCCTCTCCCTCGGAGCACACACAGATGATTGCTCTTCTTGTATCAGGCATACCCGCTTCAAGACGTATCGGCCAGCATCTGAATTACTTCAAATCAGGCATTTTAATGGTTCACGTTACCTGTTTTTCAGTAGTAAAAGCTGACATTTTTCAGCAGTGTCCTAGTGGATAATGATTCCCTAATCTGTGTGATACCAAAAACGACTGGACGGTGAAGGACTTGTAGGAAACCGCCTGACACGCCGTCTGCCGTCACTGACAAGTCTCAGGGAAATATTTTCACCTCAAGGCCGCAGTACCCAAAGGGGAGTTACAGCGGCAACGGGTCTCTATAGGGGCCCTCACAGAGACAAACCTCCGCCTCAAAACTGCTGAGAAAAGCCTCAGAATAAATTTAT